CACACACACACACACACACACACACATATATATATATATATATATATATATATATAATATATATTAAGTATGTATGTATGTATGTACCGTATGTGAATAAAGTGTCGCTTATATACTTTTTTTTCTATCAAAATACATTCTGGTTGTAAGTGCAAGTCAATCTACCAAAAGTTATATATATACGACTGGATAAGAATAACAATCAGTGAAATATAATAATATGTAAAATGGAGAATATACATGACATACTACATAAGCCAATCAAAAGTCGGCGGATTAGTTAAAGTTGTCTGAGGCCCAACCCAATGAACATTCACTATACGGACATTACACATATACTGAAATAAATGCATATCTATCAATCTAAACATGCATATCTACCGTATAGATGGGGAGATAAATATGCATATGTCTGATAAATAAACATCCATGTATTTATTTCTGTGTATACGCATGTGAGTATATAGGCCTACGAATATTCATTGGGTCGGGCCTCGCACAATTTTAACAAACTGGCTGTATGAAAATACTCACTGGACACAGATATTTAGACAATGAATTCCGAGAAAGACCACTTGTAGCATACAAGTTGGATATTGAAAACACACTCTCGACACACGAAATGGATAAGGAGTTAAGAGACTGGTCAAACAAACAGAATTCAGAAACGGATACAAATTGTGTGTGTAAATATACAGATATTCACAAGTATATATACGTATTACAGACATGGACGCAATGCAATTTGAGCCCTTATTTATACCGATGAAAGTTTCATTTTTTCTGATTTCACTCCCAAGCATACACAGTCCCACGTGTCACATTAGTATCTATCTATCTATCTATCAATATGTGTATATGTCATGTCATGTCGTGTGTGTGCGTGGGCATGTATGTCATGTAGGGCGATCTGCAGTCGTCTTCAGTATTGACTGCCAGCAATAACAGACTGTCGTCAACAAAGAGTCTAGCGGAAGAGTTTTGTGTGGTTAGTGGAAGATCATTAAAGATAGAAGGAAGAGAAGACCAAGAACGGTGCCTTGCGGAACACCAGAAGAGACGGACAAAGTCAGATGTAGGACATGTTGGGTCTTACACGTCAGAAAGGCAGTGATCCAGTGAAGTTGGTCTTGTGATCTTGTCTCCTGTGTAGTACTTTGTCAAAGGCTGTGGCAAGGTCTTGGAGTATGGCATCAACTAACAACACCACGTCTTTCTAACTGTTGGGCAATTTCACTGTGGATTGTGATTAGTTGTGTCTCACATAAACGTCGTTCATGATGTGTTTGTGTATCATGTGTTCAAAAAAACTACAAACAATCGATTTGAGGAAGATTGGGCCATAGTAATTTCGGGTCTATGTAATTGCCTGGCTTGAAAATCAGGGTCCAGAGAATTTTCCGGTGGGGTGCACAAGGGTAACAACAATAAATCTGGAGGGCCGCAACATTATATATACCAGGGGCCATTACGACGAGTCAGTGACCATTGGGGGGCACACGGGGTGGCCAATCAGATTGTAGGGGGGGGGGCAAGTGCCCCCCGTGCCACCATGGAAGCCCCGCCTCTGTTGAAAAGGTGCTAATTAAGTAAAGTCAGTTTTAGTTAGAATGCTTGATGTAAGTGGATACAAGCAGTGACAGAGACTTTTGGTCAGGTCCAGTGACTTTGTTTCATGTCTAGTGTCATTTGTAGTTTCTGTATATCGTCAGTCAATATATCGAGTGGTGGGAATGGAAGGTAAGGGTTGTCTGGCATATCGGGTCTATTGATGTCTTCATGTGTGAAAACAGATTGAAAATGTGTGTTGAGTTTGCCAAGTGTTTTTCCAAGGTGTGATAGAGGCTATCCTAGTTAAAAATAAGGGGTCTTGTGTGGGGATCTTTGTGGAAGTAGTCTATGCAGTAGTTCGTGATGCCCTAACTGATTGCGTCTATCATCTCAAATAGAGAAAATAAAGTCTGTGTCTCTGCCTGTGTCAGTAAGTACAGTGCCATGGTCACTTAGTCCTGGGATAACGTTGATGCTTGTTTTGCTCAAGACGTTGGTGAGAACTTGGTCCAGGGTGTAAGCAGTGGTGTGAGGGTGCTATGTATTGTGTTCGCGTTGGAGTGGGGAGACAACGGTCCATTCTCTATCGGGTAAGCTGATGTAGCCGCCGGTCCATATGTTTCTGTCTGCGTTTTATGCGTGATAGGGATGTTTGAAGTTTTTTTTTTTTTTTAGCATTCTGATAGTAGAATGTGGTTCGTAGAAAACTGCAAGGAGTGATTTACAGTTGGAAAGTTGAAGTTGGAGTCGGGCGGTTTCACACTGTCTCAAGTTATGGCCTCGGTTTGGCAAAAGGACCTGAAAGTTGAAAACTCCGTCACCTCTGCTTCGGTCGAGTGGTCTTTACCAGTGAAGGGGGAAGAGTTCAATAGAGTCAGTGTCGGGAGTCAGCCATGTCTGTTATGATATCTGGTTATGACTGGAGGATGTGATGAAGTTGGGATATTTTATTTGTGATGTTTCTGTAGTTCATGTTTAGCATGAGGTGATGGGCTTGGAGGAGGAGGAGGAGAGGAGGAGGAGGAAAAGAAGAAGAAGAAGAAGAAGAAGAAGAAGAAGAAGAAGAAGAAGAAGAAGAAGAAGAAGAAGAAGAAGAAGAAGAAGATGAAGGAGGAGGAGGAGGAGGAGGAGAGGAAGGAGGAGGAAGGAGGAGGAGGAGGAGAAGAAAAGAAAAGAAGAAGGGAAATGAGAAGAAAAGAAAAAGAAGATGGGAAATGAGAAGATGAAATGAAGAAAAGGGAAGAGAGAAGGAGAGGGGTAAAGTAAAAGAACGGAAAGGGGAGAGTGTAGGCGAAAGGAAGAAAGAGGAGGATGGAAAGGGAGAGAGGAGTACTGTGTCACTATTTTTCAGTGGAATTTTCATGGAGGATGTTAGTTTAATTTGATACAATTGTAAAGAAGCCTGTTGGGAAGCATAAGCTATATTTGGATGAATTTAATTTAATATGACATGAAGAGGAATTAATTAAATGATATTTAAATTCTTACAGTGATTAAAATCATCCCATTCCTATTATTATCGTTTATATATAAAAAAAATACTGACAAATAAAAATGTCCATATTGTTTAGTTTCTATGACGCCTTTTGTCTCCGTCGGCAACGTTTAATTAATTGACTTACATAAGTTAAAGGCACAGTTTAGGCTTGAACAGTTATATGTTTGGTTAGATGTTGCTTAACCCAATTACCACATTTGGTATCTATTCTATGATTATATGAAAAGAAAAATCACTATTTTATTACAAGTTTATCGCTGACATCAGTGGTCTTTGTCTCCGGTGATGTCTCCTTGAAATAAGGAGTGGACAGTTGGAACAGTATGAACAAAAAGCCAGGGTCTGTTTAACTTAATTGGATAAACTGACATGGACTAGAATTCTGTCCCTGACGACACAGATATATGTCTCCGTTAAAGCCTCCTTGACGTAACAAGTGGATATTAGGAGTAGTGTAAATCAAAGAAGGGATAGATTTAGGTGAAAAACGATATTGCATTACCGAAGTTTATGTTTTGGATTAGAATTCTGTCCCAGACGTCACCGGCCTTTGTCTCCGTTAGAGCCTCCTTGACGTGGATGATAATAAGTGGATATTAGGAGTAGTGTGAAATAAGGCTAGATTTAGATGAAAGTTACAATTACATTAGATTACAGTGTATGTATTGGATTAGAATTCTGTCCCTGACGTCACCGACCTTTGTCTCCCCCAAAGCCTCTTTGACGTAGTAAGTGGATATGAGTAGTGTGAAATAAAGGAGTATATTTAGGTGAAATTCACGATCACATTAGTTTATCAGTGTATGTTTTGGATTAGAATTCTGTCCCTGACGTCATCGACCTTTGTCTCCGCCGAGGGCACCGAGCCGAGAGGAGGCGAACGGACGCACTCGAGGGAAGCCTGTCAAGGGAGCAGGCTGGGGAGGAGTAACTGTCACGAGACGATTTTTCACCGAGGATCCGGGAGCTAGGGAGGATGAGGTTGATTTTGGTGATTTGTGCTTTATCTTCGGCGTGGGTCGTCAACGGCCAGCTGTTGAGATATGAAGGGAAGGTGAGTATTGAGGAGTGTTGGGTGATATATATTGAAGGGGGGATGAGTTGGAAGGGGAAGTGGAAGGGTAATTTTACTGCTGCGTATTTCGCGTTTGGACAAATAGGGTAATGGATGAGTCATTTCTTTGTTAACCCATAGGGGGATTGGCAACGAGCAGACTTTATTTATGAATATATTGTTAGAGATGATAGTTAAGAATGCAGTTACGATATCTACTACTCTGTTGTAGTTCCAATCAGCTGATTTGAATAAACAAGTAGGTGTGCCTGAATTTTTACTGACCCAATTTTCATCTTTTTGGGTTGGAGTTTATAGCAAGTGATTTAAGACAGGGATCATCACACTCTTTTATATTAATCTTCATTCAGATATAAGGAAGTTATCACTAAGCTAAAACCTAGATGTGCTTAGAGGATGCGGTGTTAATGGTAATGCAAATCCAAAAATAAACCCGACCAAACTCAGGGCCTAGGCTTGGCTATCGTACTGACAAAACTCCCCTTTCTCGTTACAAAATAGTGCTGTAGGATTTAACTGAAATCTGTGAATTTGAAGAATAATCACTCTACGTACCACTTAGCTTGAGAATGTTATTGCTTAACTGGAATTTAAAGAATTGCATTTTCCGAATTTTTGGATTTTAATGCCAGATGAATTACCCAGTTGGTGTGGCACTGAGATTCATTCAAGTTCTATCTAGAAAATATAGTATTCATGAGTTCTTATGTTTGTCATATGACAGTGTCAAGCTTGATACTTTCACTTTTTATACATAGCGATGAAGCTTTTTAGAAGGAAAAAGTTCATACATATTATTGTTTTATAATAAAGTTACCTTTTTTTGTATTTTTGCTTAGAAATATACATTAAAAAGCATAATTTATTCTAGAATAG